CACTAATCCGCAGTCCCGAATTCTTAAAAACACAAGAATATCCAAATAGACTAGAACTAGATATATTTTATCCGCAATATGGCTTTGCAATCAAAGTACAAAGCATACAACACAAAAAATATCACGAATTCTTTCACGGAGGAGATCCCAATAATTTTATCAAACAGCAAGTACGGGATCAACTCAAAAAAAAATTATGTGAAGAAAACTGCATTGTCTTAAGGTATGTTTGGTATTACAAAAACCCATATGCAGTTATTCCAGAGCATCTTCAAGAATTGGGTCTCATAGAATAAACATAAAACTTAAATATCTGTGTTTCATTATTTTTTTAAGATATAATAATTTCATTGCTCAGCCCGATCAAAATGAAATGTAAAAAATCGTGTGTAAAAATATGTTACATTGGTCATGCTTCAGTGTTTATATAAGGTTGCAAAAGGTAAACAGAAAAAATAATCAAAATACAATGCATTTGTCTTACAATACATTATAATATCATGAATATTGCTTTAAATGATTATTTTGGATGGTAATATTTTTATTAATTAATATTGAATGCATACAGCGCACACGTACATCAATATTATAAGTAGTTACATGAATATAAATGCAATAATTTCAAGCCAACATTTGAATTTCTACTAAGCTCTAACTATTGGTATACATATTTTTTTAGGTAACGAATTCGACTTTTGACAATACAAGTGACCGGAGGATGATGGTTGAGATGAATTCATAGTAACAATCGTAGATCTTATCCTTTCCTACATAATAAAAATAATTAGCGATTAAACTGCAAAGCAACTTGTTTGAACTATAAAGTAAGACTCTTACCAATAAGGAATAAAAAGTAGATATTACGGTAATGATATTTAGAAAATTCGCATTTTCTATTGATAACAAGATTTTTGATAATTGATTGAAACGGTATAAACTGTTAAAAGCTAAGTCCATACTAAATATCTTTATTTTGCTTCCTGTTAGATTTAATCGAATTAGCTCGGCATTAAAACATCATAATTATAATAATAGTGAACGATAACTTACTATAAATCAATACTCCAAATGTTTCCAGACCGTCAACGTAACCATAACTATAAATAATAAGATCTAAAGAACCTTTCGTGAATTCCGCCAACTTTACTATACTTTTGTTTATAGAAGTTGAATTGTTTGGAGGTTTAATTTCGCCGAATAAAAATTCCGTATTTACATCATCTATCTTTGAGAGTATACGAAAGTCCAGTTTTCTTCTGTGATTTTTTTCGTCTAGTATTCGTCTTTCTTTCGAACTTTCAGACTCACCATTTGCCCTTTGTTCCGATGACAAAAAATATGAGCATAGGCCGATATACTGTACTATATAGTGTATTGTAATAATTTTATATAGAACTTACCAGATCAATGTAAAATCATCTTTATTAAAAATTTCTTCAAGAAGTCTATAACAATATCGGTGAACGAAGGTATCTTTGTCCAGTTTCTTATCCTCATCGAAACTCACTGAAGTCAGATACGTAAAACTAAAAAGCAACAGACATACAGTAAATATCAACAACGTACAAAGATGTTCTCAATAATTTAGAACTCACAAATTTTTCGTGACTTCCTGCGCACAATCGAAGATGAATTTATCCTCGTCTGTTGACAGTGTACTCCATTTGGCCCAATTCTCATGCCACTTTGTGTCCAATAACTGTTTGTCGTTTAAAAGCTAATCACAAAATATAACAAATTGATAAATTTGCCAATTATTTGTTAGAAAGTTGATGAAAACTTACTATATTATATTCAATTATTATTAAATATACGACAGATGGCAACATCTTTAGCACTAGGAGTCTTGGACGAATTTTATTCCATACTTTTTCGGAACATGTTACAAATTCCGGCTTGACTTCATTGCAATACATTATAGATGATAAACACCTGCAGGCATATACAAAAATTAGATATTAAAATAGATTTTATTTGCATAAAAAACACTTACAGAATTTGATCCATATCTTTTACATATAAAAAGGTTGGATTAGTCTCTAAAAGATTTATTGATGCTAATTGAAATTTACGGAAATCAAGAGAAATGTTGTGATCATCTACAACCCACTATAGGTGAGAAAGGATTATTACTATATATTAGGAAAAGACTATCATGATGTTGCTCGATACTTACGTCATTCCCGGAGATATTGTTTGTATTGACATTATTGATTGCATGTTTCCATGATAGAATAATTTTGAACTATATAATTAAGAATTGAATTAATTATTAATTAATAAAAAGATATATTCAGTGAATAAAATTATGTTTTTTTTCTCTGCTTAATAATTGATTTGCAACTAATACTTATTAATATTAACCTTATGATTTCTTGATCCATCTTCTACATTGAAAGGATTTTCATTGTAATCTTCATGCGTAATCTCTATATCGGATTCATGGACATTTAATTCCTTAAAACAAGCAATATCGCAATGCAGATTAGAAACAAACTTATATATATCATACAGCTAAACAAAACGAAAAAAAATTACTGGAGAGGCTTCAATTGACTCTTTCTCAATTTCGGTTGATTCTCCGTTGAAAGAATTATTCATGCTGTTAAAAGAAGGGGAAGAGTGATTGCGAAGGTTAGGAGGTGTAGTAACAGGAGAGGGCTCTTCGACTAGTCGTTTTCTTTCATTCTTGAAATTTGTATTCATCTGTGAGTGATGTAGTGAATAGGGATTCTTAATGAGTATTTATAGAAAAATAGATGCAGATGCAATAGCACAAAAAAAGAATGTATGCAATATATACCGGTCTATTATTAGAAACATTGGTTTTCAGTATGCTATCAACTTCGTTGAAGGCGGTTTTGATCAACCTCTTGGTGCTATGCATTACTGTTCGAGCCGTATTTACCTAGTCAGGATATTTAGTCAATACAAGTCTGAATTAGGATAAGAACTAAAAAGAACCGGGAAAGTAATAAACCTTATCTAATTGTAGACTCGAATTGGCAACAGATGCCTCTATGTCATTCCAAAACATCTGAACATTAGGATATTTTTCACGATGATTCTTATATAGTTGAAGATCAATAGGAGTAAGTATAATATTTAGAGCGGTAATAAAAAAATAAAACTGATTATAGCTGAGGGTCGCATAACGGAACGCAGACTATAAGGTGGATAAACGCAGATATTCACTGTAGTTGTGTGATACACGACGAAACAAAGATCTTCAGAGGGCCAAATGCAGATGTCCCCTAGTCGCGTAACTACATTTTGAAACCCTCAGCATAAAAGGAAAGAACAACCTTATGATTCTGTAGTAACCGGCCTGCGTAAACTCTAACTGCTTCTGAATTTTCTTTCATCAATTCCTCGAGATCGC